TTCCTTCCTTCCTTCCTTCCTTCCTTCCTTCCTTCCTTCCTTCCTTCCTTCCTTCCTTCCTTCCTTCCCAACTTATTGCTTGTCCCTCCTTTTTGTCTATGCTTCCTTATCCACTCTCTTTTTGTATGCATCGAAAAGCTTGGTTTCCTCTCTCCCTATTCCCCACCCCATCTTTCTACTGGAATTTGTCCTTGTCACCTCAAACATCATCTTTTCCCAGTCCCACCTGATTCTTCCCAGTGTACTCACTCTCTTAGAGAACCCATACTGCCTTCAACCCTATAGCATCTTTTCAGCCAGCCAGCCCATCTATTGGAAGGGTGCAACTTCTTTGCAGTGTTGTTGTTTTTTCTTTAGTAAAGAGAATTCTGTTCTTAATTGATAGCTTCTGCTAGTAATGAGAAAAAAAGGTTTCACCTTTCTCCCCCACCATTCACTTTGGAATAATGAGAAAAAGCAACTTCCTTCTTTCCTTTGTTCAAAAAAGAGGCAGCATTTTTTTCACCAGCAGGAGAGGCTATGAACCAAAATAATAGTGTCATAGCACCCTCTATTGATAAAGTATTTAAAAAACAGAAACACAAACATCACTCCCCAAAGTAAAATATAATTTAGTGATCATTCAAAACAGAAAATTAAAGGGAAAAATTAAAACATCAGTGAATAAAGTATGAAACAAACAGCGTTTGGTCTGACCTTTTTCATGTTGTGTAAAGCACAGGGCAGCCTTCAAGCTGACGGAAGGCCTCAAGATATGTCCTTCCTTCCTTCCTTCCTTCCTTCCCTTCCTTCCTTCCTTCCCTTCCTTCCTTCCTTCCTCTTTCTTTCTTTCTTTCTTTCTTTCTTTCTTTCTTTCTTTCTTTCTTTCTTTCTTTCTTTCTTTCTTTTCTTTTCTTTTCTTTTCTTTTCTTTTCTTTTCTTTCTTTCCTTTCTCTCTCTCTCTCTCTCTCTTCACCATGCCTTCCAGGTGATAATGCAACACAAAACTGATTGTAAGAGAAATTGGCATTTGAAGAAAGCCTACTTGAAATTGTTCTCACCTATTTTTGGCTAATTTTGCAATGTTTTATATGAATGGAAATACAGGTAGTATCAACCATTCTTTTTAGTGACTGAAGTTACAACAGCACTGAAAAAAGTGACTTATGACTGTTTTTCATGCTTACGACCATTGCAATTTTGCCATAGTCACATGATCAAAATTTGGACCCTTGGCAACCTGGAATATACAGTTTTTATGATCCTAGTGTCCCAGGATCATGTGATCACCTTTTGTGACTTTCTGACAAGCAAAGACATTGGGGAAGCCAGGTTCATTTAACAGCCATGTTATTAACTTAACAATTGCAGTGATTCACTTAACAATTGTGGCAAGAGTGGTCGTAAAATGGAACAAAACTAATTTAGCAGCAGTCTTGCTTAGCAACAGAAATTTTGGGCTCAGTTGTGGTCGTAAGGCAAGGACTACCTATATGTAGTTTTCCATTTGCCTGATCAGTGCAAGTCAGTAGCACCTGGTCTAATTTTGCATTCTAGTCCCCTTATTCAGCTGCCACAACAGCTATGCTTTTTGTGAACCTTGATTAATATGGAGTAACTGTACTTTTCTGCAGCCAATTCTTTCAGATGACTTCCATGATAAATGAGTATAACACTGAAAGTTATGGAAATCAAAGGCATTTCCTTACATGGAAATGTGTACAGATTTCCACCTTTACATTCATTGTCCAGAAAAATTAATTATCTAATGTATTATCATAGAATCTGAGAGTTGGAGGAGACCACAGATCCTTCCTGCACAGTGCAGGATCCAGTATAGCATCTCTGACCATACAATTCCATTAGAAGACCCTCGAGTGAAGGAGAACTAACCATGTCTTGTGACGCTCCTAGTGTCAGGAAGGGTTTCATGATGTCTAGTCTGATTTAGTTTTCTGTAGTTCTGTAACCCTTTGTACTGATCGTGTCCTCTGGGACAAAAGAGAATAAGTTCATTCCCACTTCATATATTTGAATGGTAATTATATTTCTCCATCATCATCTTTTTTGTAAACATACCCAGATCCTTTCAACTGTTGTAATATAACTTGCTGTCCAGACCCTTCCACGACTTCATCGCTCTTCTCTAAACTTACTGTAATTTGTTATGATCCTTTTTGAAGCTGTGGTGCTCTGAATTGAATACATAAATCCAATTTTGGTCATAAATATTGACCTAGGAAGAGTGGACTGAAACAATTACTTTCTATGAACTGGACTCTATGCTCCTGTTAATGCACCCCAATGGAGCATTTATTTTTTCATACCTGCATCATACTGTTAGCTTAGGTCAACCAGGATACCCAGATCATTTTACAGTATACCAAACCAGCTCCCACTTTATTCTTAGTGGCTTACTTTTTTAAAAAAATAGCCAAATGCAGAACTTTACATTTCTTTACATTTCATTTCATTTCTTCATTTCTTTTCATATATACATACATATATGTACATATATATATATACACCATATATATATGGTATTCAGCTTTGTTCGGGTATTTTCCCACATTATTATAGTTGTGCTTTTGAAGTTGTAGCAACGTTTCGGCAGAATCTCATCTGCCATCATCAGGCTTCTGTATAGTGTTCGTCTATGAGTCAGGCTTTCACAGCCGTTTCTGTTTTAAATTTGGTGCTAGCCTACTGCTGTGTTAGAATGTTTTTTTCTTCATCCTGATTGGTTGGGAGTCTTGGTCTGTGTTTATTGGTCTTGGAGTTTGCTGCGTTCTGCTTGATTGGTGTTTCTAATATCTTCTGTCTGTTTTGTAGCTTTTTTTGTCTTGATTGGCTGGCAACATTGTGTTTCCTGTATTGGAGGCTTTTAGTGCAGCTTGGCTCCGAGTAAACGGATGGCTATCATTTATTAGGAAGCTAGGTTTGATCTGGGTGCCTGGTTGGGGTGTGTTTGAGCTGGAGGTATCATAGGTCCTGCCCTACATAAGAGGTACTACAGACAAAATCAGTAAGATACTACACAGGCATCACATCAAGACTGCCTTCAAAACAGACAGAAAAATAGCAGCCATCCTAAGAAACCCCAAAGATAAAATTGACCTGGAAAACCAAGGCATATATGTAGTCCCCTGTGCATCATTCCCTGACACATACATTGGACAGACCAATAGAAGAATAAGTACCCGCCTAGATGAACACAAAAATGCAGTAAAAAAGCTGGAAGACACTTCCTCACTAGTCCAACACATGAAAGCCACAGGTCATATCATCGTCTTCAATGGCACCAAAACCCTAGCCACTATAGAAAACCCCAGCTAGAGAATTATCAGAGAAGCCATAGAGATTGAAAAAAGACCTGAAAGCATGAATAGAAGAGATGATTCCACCAGACTGTCAATTATCTGGAAACCTGCACTCTCAAACAAAAAAATCTCCAGACCACTAGCCAGGCAAACACCTGGGCACAAACAGATCCCCCCTGATACCTCCAGCTCAAACACACCCAAAACAGGCACCCAGATCAAACCTAGCTTCCTAATAAATGATAGCCATCCATTTACTCGGAGCCAAGCTGCACTAAAAGCCTCCAAAACAGGAAACACAATGTTGCCAGCCAATCAAGACAAAAAAAGCTACAAAACAGACAGAAGATATTAGAAACACCAATCAAGCAGAACGCAGCAAACTCCAAGACCAATAAACACAGACCAAGACTCCCAACCAATCAGGATGAAGAAAAAAACATTCTAACACAGCAGTAGTCTAGCACCAAATTTAAAACAGAAACGGCTGTGAAAGTTTGACTCACAGATGAACACTATACAGAAGCCTGATGATGGCAGATGAGATTCTGCCGAAATATTGCTACAACTTTAAAAGCACAACTATAATGATGTGGGAAAATACCCGAACAAAGCTGAATACCATACATATAAATACCCGTGAAAACTTAAGAAAACAAATATATGGCTGGAATCTTTTGAACCTTCTTCCCCCCCCCCCCCTTAAATATTAACTACTGTTCCCAGCTTTTTATCATCTGCATATTAATTCAGTGTCTTCTCAACTCATCCATTCATTCATCTGAGTCATTTAGTGTCTTTTCAACTCACTCATTGATCCAAGTCATTGATAAAAGTGTTGAATAGCACAGAATCTAGTGGCACTCCATTCAGTACTTTCCTCTAAGCTGAAGTGGAGCCATTAATGAGCACTTTGAGTGCAGCCACTCAGCCAATTGTGAATTCCTCCACAGTAGTAACATGTAGCTCAAGGGAAATATTATGAAGGTTTTCTGAGGTCCAGGTATTTACTAATACATTTTTCAAAGAGGGAAATAAGGTCAGCATGACACAACTTGTTTTTCAATAAGCAGATGCTGGCTTTTGTTAATTGTTGTAGGGATCACACTCATGCTGCTTGATAATCTGTTCAAAGGCTTTGCCCAGTATAGACATCAAGTTGACAGCCTGGTAGCTTCTTGAGTCCTCCTCCTTTTCCTTTTTGAAGATGGAGATTACATTTGCTATACTCCAATCTTCTGGGACTTTGCCGGGCCTCCAGAGGTTGGAAGAAATGACCAAGAACAATTTTTCAAAAATCTCAGCTAACGCTCCTTCAGTACCTTGTGGTGTAATCTATTTGCCCCTGGAAATCTGAAATCGTTTAAATTAACTAAGTTATTAGCTCTGCTCTTCTGTCCCTTGGCTGTCCTCAATGGTGTGACAATGACCTGCTAAGGTTCCTGTTCCTTTCTGAGAAAAGATAAATGCAACATAGGACTTTAAAAGCTCTGCCTTCTCTGCATTGTAACCTATTCATTTTTCATAACAGTAGATCTACAATCTCTTCTCTGGCCTTACTTCTATTTCTAATGTAGCTTTTTGTTGTTTTGGGATCTCTCATAAGCCTCAGCACTTTCTAAGTTCAGCCTTTCTAAATTTGTTCCAACAACCTCTGGAAAATGAAGTACATAATGCCTCTTCCATAGTTCATCCTCATTCTGAGATGCAAATGCGAGGCTTACTATGGAGTTAGCAACTTATTCCACCATAAAGATGCGTCCACACTTATTCACTGGGGGAGTTGAAATTAATATTCACACTTGCTGGTTCTGATGTAAGACTATACCAGAGGTTAATTTGACTATTAAATGTGCTTCGGCGTGTTTTTATGGTCATGTTTTCCCTGGATTTTTAGTTGGTGTGATTTCAAACATTCACAATTTCATAAAGCCTTTCCTTGTATTGTAATTAACACCGTCACTAGCTATTGTGGCAATCAATTTTATCTAGCAAAAGTTTGCAGCTGGAAGACTTTTCCTATTAAAGTGTAAGATTTTGATCCTGTGAACGGGGCTGTCAAACTCGCGTTGTCACAGCAGCATCATGTGATGTTTTGGGACTTTTTTCCCCTTCACTAAACCGGGCGTGCCCAGCGCATGATGCATCCGGCCCGTGGGCCACGAATTTGACAGCCCTGCTGTAGAACTTTTTCAGTTCCTGTCCCGCTCCCTGCCTTTCCTAGTTCAAGCTAACTCTGCATATGTTCTTTATAACTATTAATGCATATGTTTTGTGCTGTCCCAGCCAGTCTGTGGGAATTGGATAGTTACTTAGGAATTATGAGCTGTCCCCTTAAGGGAATGCATCATGGTAAATGTAGTTAAAGGTATCTTGGGAAATGCAGTTCATGTCACATCTGGCCACATCTGTAATCCTGATTGGTCACTGAATTGACCCTCGATGGGTTTTTTCCCTTCACTAAACCGGGCGTGCCCGGCGCATGATACATCCGGCCCATGGACCACGAATTTGACAGCCCTGCTGTCAAAGTTTTCCTTACTTTTGCCCGAACTCCCTAACTCATGGAAGCTGCTTTCTATCACTATGAGATGGGTTAGGAGATAACCATCTATTATTACAAGGCAGATATACAAAGGACTGGTCATTAAAGAAGAACTTCGTCACAAATGTGAGTTATGAGGATACCTGATGAACCAATAAATGTACTTTGTTATGGACGTCTTGTTGAGTTATCTATCTGCATCTGTACAGCTTATAAATCCACCTCTGTGCAGAGACAGAAAATGTTTCATATTTTTGTTTTGCTTTCCTATTTTTCAGCATACTGGTATCAGATGATATTGCCTCCAAATTTCGATGAGTCAAAAAAGTATCCCTTGCTCATTGATGTGTAAGTCAAACTGCCCTTTTTTACCTTTAGTTATTTATGCTTAATTCATGATACCAAATCATGTTTATACTTATGTATTGTCTGCCTAATGCTTCGTAGGTGCTGTACAAAGATTTAAAAAGCGAGACAGGTTTGGCAAAACTCAGGCCTCGATTCTGATTGCTGCAGATTGTTCCCCTGAGAATCAGCTTGGATGCAGACAGTTCAGGGAGATGCAAGCCATCGTTCAGTAGGCTGATGGCCCATTTCTTCCACACAGAAGGCATTGTTGCTAATAAATTCCTAGTTGAGGAAGAGGAGGGACTTATTGGCATCTGGTTTCATATTCTCTTGGAGGACTGTGATGCAGTCACCAGATGAATACAAGCAACAGCTTTGTACTAGTAAAATTAGAAGAAAAAGAGCAGCCAGGATAACAACAAAAAGATTTCCAAGAAATTTAATTGACAAACATTTAAGACTTGAATGTGCTTCAAGACTTGTCGCCTTTACTAAAAGAGCTTGATTTGGCTGTTGCTCTGCAAATTATCATAGTGACGATTAATTCAGGATATAGAAAAGCATAGTGGTTCTGAAATAGGGTTATCAGATATAAATTATAAAAAGCCAAACCATGGTTATAGGGCAGTGAAGAGTTTTCTGAGTTTCACTGGTGCCATCTAGTGTTTGTTCAGAAACTTTAGTGATCATTAAGAGTGCCCTGTTCTGAACAAGTCATAGTGATGATGTTAAGAGGCAAACTTCACTCTTTCATACATATGCCTCAGACACAAATGCATAAGCCTTAGTAATTGCATCATGCCACATATTTTGACAATCCCTCAAAAGTCTTGCCTTCAAGTATTCCCAGCTGTTCCAACCAATGAGATACAGACAGTCCTCACTTAATGACCACAACCGAGTCTGGAATTTCCATCATCAGTTGTTGCAGTCATTAAGCAGGGCACCATGAGACCTAATTTGATTTTATGACTGTTTTTATGGGAATTGTGAAGTGAATCATCATTAAGCAAATCCATTCTCCCCAAATGGGCTTAAATCTTAACGTGTGTTGCTGAGCCTATTTAAATAAAATGGTGTACTCTAGGTCAAGACTTCTGTACAGTTTGCAGTTAAATAAAAACAATGGCCAAGGGATAGATACCATTAGAAAAATGTGGATTGGACAATTGTACACATACCAGTTTTACTGTATACGTACATCTTTACTGAACCTGACCCTGCAAATATAATATAGAAATATAACAAAGAAGACACATTTCCTGGATCCTGAATATATGCTGTTGATGGTATTCCTCCCTCACACTCCTTTGCACATATTGAAGGATTTGCATTAATTAGCTTCTTCCTGTAATCTGCAAATTATAAAAATTTGCTTTTTATAGTAAATATAAAATGCAAATATTCTCTATTTGGTGAAAATTAATTGTAGAAGAAATGTAGAAGAAATACAGTAGTTACAAGCACTTAATTTCTCTTCATCCTATTAATTCATATCTGTTAGGAATATGAGTCACCTTACAGCTATTTGGGTTAGAAATATATGAACCAGGATAAACATTTTAAAACTGTAAGAAAATGCAAAACTGTAATTAGGTGTGGTTTCTCAAATGGCCATAAGATGGAGAGAAACCTGGGTTGTTTAGTCTTAGTCTCAGAAGAGAGTGTGTCTGAGTGAGTATCTCTGTTTCCTTCTGTTGGAAAGTATTGCCGTTCCTCCATTTTTCCTAATTGACTGATATTCATGGATTTAATGTAAGTCTGATACTGAACTGTTTTTGACACTGGACTTTGTTATTGAATTATCCTTGGATTGAAAAAACTGACTGATTTACCTGTGAATGATTTTGGATTGCTTGTTTGGACTTTGCTTAATGTTTCTGGAAGTAAAAACCTACATTTACTGTACAGTGTATCTGTGTGCTGTATGTGTATTATTCAAACACTACTCTCAAATACGTTTCCCTGTATGCGCTCTTTCTCCTAACAGGGAATTACTTCAACAATATCTTAAACATAATATATCATAATCATTAGAATTATTAACCATTTTACTAATTAAAATTTCAGTGAACCATAATGATCAAAGGCTTATTAAGATTCTAAACAAGAAAGGTGGATCTTGGTACACTGTTTAAATGTATTAGAGATTAGCATTTGGATTTTAGGGTAGTATTCAGGGGGACATGAATATGACCATGAGTCGTAGATTATTTGTCTTCAATTATGTACATTCTTCAGATGATATATAATTAGCCCTCAGATCTTTTGCGAGGGGGAAAAACAGACTTCTTCATTTTTGCACTTGACCCCTCTATTAAAAAGTAAAGGTAAAGGTAAAAGTTTGATTCAGTCTCATTTCTTATCATTTTGGGCTTCAATTTAATTTTCTCTATTTAGAGTATTCTTTGGTATTCTTTGTAAATGCCATTCTTCTTAGAATGTATTAATTTTAACCTAAATTGCTGTCTATATTGCTGCTTTTGAATTTCCAGCCATATATGTGTATAGCGAAATAAACATTCAATACAGCTAAAGCCAGACTAATAATAAGAAAATACAAAATCCAGTTTAGCATCAGGATACGTTTCATAGGCCTGAATCTCAGTTCTATTGTTACAGTGCTTGTGGCAAATTCAGCTGAAGAGTATGCTGCTCGACATTTTCTGTTCTAACCAAAGTCTCTGTTTATATAAGAATGTAGAAAGTGCAGAACAAATAGAGCACAGCGTGGATCAAGTCAACCAAATTTCTTTCCACAGATATGCAGGGCCTTGTAGTCAGAAAGCAGATGCTGCCTTCCGGATCAACTGGTCTACATATCTCGCAAGCTCTGAAGGGATTATTGTGGCTAGCTTCGATGGTAGAGGAAGTGGCTTTCAAGGAGATAAAATTTTGCATGCAATATACCGAAGACTGGGAACCTATGAAGTTGAAGATCAGATCTCAGCAGCCAAGTAAGTTTGTGCCTTATTGCCTTAGCTTTAGGATGGTTAACATCTCAACTGGGCTTCTCTCAATGTTTCTCCTTCTTGCAGAATTTCATAGGCTTGGTTTTTCTTCGTTTCTCATTTTTTTTCTGTTTAGTAACTTTCATCATCCCTCCTTGTTTTAATATAAAGCTCGAGATTTGTTTTTGTTCTTTTAATTCCCAACTTAACAGTATTTTTTTTAACCTAATACACAGTTTTTGCAAACAGTTAATGTATAACATAGTCAATTACTGTATTTGCATGATAGAAACATTTTGTGCAGGCCTTTCCCTACTTTTTTGATTGATGAATTAGACTTTCAGGGAAGTTAATTTTGATGGATAGTTGAGTTAAGAGTCATATATTAGTTTGCAAATGAAAATTTGACTAACACAAACACGCTCATTTCTCTTCTATTTCTAATCCCAGTAGCCTTCTACTTCCTTTGCTTCTAATTGGTAATCCAATTATTTAAAAAAGTGGAAAACAAAAAACCTGTTTGGAAATAAGTACTGAATATTAATATTTATGTATTACATTTTAATACACCTATTCTCCAAGGAGCAAGGCTGGTGGGGGAAAAGAATTGTTGCAAAGAAGAATAAGATAAGATTTTTCTGAGTAGGTGCACTTTTCTGTTTTTTCTTAGGCTATTTTCTGAAATGAGGTTTGTTGATAAGGACAGAATGGCTATTTGGGGCTGGGTAAGTATTAAAGTATTAATTGTTTTGTTCAGATTTGCTAGTAAGAAAAGGTGCTTCACTTGAATACGCATTGTGAGAAATTGCTCTTTGTGGAGACACAGGAGATGTTGTTTATATTTTAGTTGGGCCTCTTTCTAAATAGAGAAATGTTTCCATTCAAAACCTGAATTATTGCTTCCATTTATCTCTCCCCACATCTTTATGCCCTCTGATGGACTGCTCAAACACACAGAAACTGGAGCAGCTGGGAGATTGCCTTGATCCAGCAAGACTTTTTCTACATTCTCACATTTTCTAGTGGCCACAATAACTATGTGGCTGCATTAGGCCATGAGTTGCTTATTCAGAGTTTATTGAGTAAACCATAGTTAGATAGGTTCATACACTACATTAAGCCATAAAAGCATTGTGTGCAAACTTTAATTGTTTGTTCACACAACATGATAAGCCAAAATCAGGCAAGCTGCATTGTGTTTTACACTGAATCTATCTATGAACCCAGTCTGTTACATTGTCCTCTTCTCCATTTCTAGTGTAGGTTGGCTTCTATATAAGGTTGCAGGGAATTTGACTGTATTTTAAATTGATTGGGTCAACTTTCCACTTAAAAGTCTATTATTATATTTTTATGATATCAAGGGAATATTTTATAATATAAGGGAATGTCTCCTTGCACAAATATTCAAGTCTATTATATTTTTATGATATCAAGGGAATATTTTATAATATAAGGGAATGTCTCCTTGCACAAATATTCAAGTTCATCCTTGGAGTGGGAAAGTTATGTTAGTCTAGGCTAGCTTAAAAAAGAGTTGAAAGGAACCTGTTTCAACTATAGTCTGGCTCTAGATGATAGTTCTATTAGCCAATCTCAATACTTTAGCTGTGCTTTGCAGAGATGTGCAACTGTTGGAATTAAACCAGCTAATCATGGTATTCATCCACCCACCCAATGAGATCAATAGACACATCTATAAAGGCAGATCAGTTTTCAGGGAGGTCCTCTTAAAATACAGACCACAAGAACAGAACAACAGAACTTCACTGATTGCCTCCTCCAGCTTTGAGCTCAAACCACTCAAATGCATTATTAATATGCTGCAGCCCATACTGGACAATGACAATGTATTTTTTCAGGCCCATGTTTGAATTCAAAAACATCTAACCTGAAGCAAATTGTCACAAGCAACAAATAACAACAGGATAATGATGGGAACCAGGGCCAGCAACAAATCCAGATGTCTAGCTTATCCCCACATTTATACCAACAGCACCATTGTGGATCCCAACAAGTAAACATACACAATCAGAGATGCTTTCACATGCTTGTCCTCTATTGTGATTTGCCCCAGCATCTACCCCTTTGGACTCTACCTACATAGGACAACGTTTGCACATATACTGAAGAGTTCATGGACACAAGTTTGACATCAGGAGCCAAAACAAGGTCAAAATAATAGAGTACTTCAGCCTCCTAGGACACTCATTGCAGACCTTAAAATTAATCTTTGGGGAAAAAAGCACTCTTTTAAGTGAAAGGTTGCTGAACGTATATCAATTAGTTTTAGGCTATCTCGAAAGATCTCAGAAAACACAGTGTTTTGTATTAACACATTAAAATTGATAATTGATAGAATTATTACTTATAATTTGTCATATGTAACCTGTATCGGCAGTAACCAATCTAAATTCCCCTCTCCCAATGTCATCACAATTTAACTCCTACATCAGTTAGTTAGTTAACTTATTTAAAAAATGTATATAGCCACCTGTCATATAACCAACTCTGGGCAGCTAACTAAATCAAAGTTTTAGTTACGACGAAGTGAATTGTTGCTGACAAAATATTTGCCTTTTAGTAAAAGTTGTTAATTAGAACAGAAATAACCAGACTCCTTCTGATTCAGGTTGCCCTGAGTCACATGTCAAGTTGGCAGCTGTATAAAATAAAGAACATAAAGATGTGACTATATCTCATTCTGCCTAACCCAACCTAGAGATGTCTCTTTTTGAAACTAAGACTAATGCGGCTCCCTTTATATCCCTTTGTGCTGTTGTTGTTAGTTGTGAAGTTGTTTCTGACCCATGGTGATTCCATGAACAACATTCCTCCAGGCCTTCCTGTCCTCTACCATCTTCTGGAGTCCATTTAAGCTCACACCGACTGCTTCAGTGACTCCATCCAGCCACCTCATTTTCTGCCGTCCCCTTCTTCTTTTGCTCTCAATCTTTCCTAGCATTAGGCTCTTCTCTAGTGAGTCCTTCCTTCTCATTAGGTGGCCAAAGTATTTGAGTTTCAACTTCAGGATCTGGCCTTCTGAAAAGCAGTCAGAGTTGATCTCCCTTTATATGAAGGTACTATACAGGTTTTACAGAGGATTTCATTACCAAAAAAATTGGGGTCAGAACAAGCCTTGCCTCATTACTTGGCAAACTGAGATCCAAGCAAAGCTATTCTTTAACACACATACATATTCTTTGTGAGGAGAACACTGTATCCCTCTTGGTCTATTTGAAATAATAATGTTTCTTTTCTCTCAGTCTTATGGAGGTTATGTAACTTCCATGGCCCTCGGAGCCGGAAGTGGTGTGTTCAAGTGCGGAATAGCTGTGGCACCTGTCTCACGCTGGCAATATTATGGTATATGTTTATTTATTCACAATAAAGTAGGAAGATCCTTTAACAAGTACCACAGAAGTCATACTGGGCAATGGTATCGAGTATGAATAGTTGGGTACATAATTCTCCCACATGAAACTATCATTTGGTCTGCCTTTCTGAACTCATGTGAGGTATTACGCACTGTCCCTGGATTAATATTTTTTCCCCAACTGGAAACTTGGATTTGAAAGGAAGATAATCTGCTTTAAATGGCACAAAATTACTTAATATTTGAAATTTTACTATAATGCAAATGTCTGCATTTGCATTCCTCAAAAGTGCCATGTGTTCCAAAGTGTGGAGGGATCATTTCTGAATGTCATAGAATTTGTTGGCACTGCTATCAACTTCCTTTATGACAATGAGCTCTGGAAAGAAGGGTCATAATTTTAATCATTTATTGCAATATTTACCAATTAAATGACACTGCTCATTGCCTCTTATGTATACTAAAGTATTATCAAATGCTTATTATTAGTTTGCTCAATGTTCCAAAAACTCCCAAAAGGAAAATTTGAATTTTAAAGCTGTATATTTTTGCCTCACATTTTGATTCTAATTAGGAGTTTATTGGGTAAACTTTGTGATGGCTTCTTGAGTTGCTGCTTTTCATTGAGAAAACATGATTTGGCTAAATTTTCTGGAAGTCAGAAAGGATGACATTTGTGTAATTAAGCCCCTCTTTTCATGTTTTCCTTTTGAATATCAGTGCTTACTTCTTCTGTCCTATCTTCAATGGTTAAATTTTACCATTTGATTTTTTTAAAAATAATTATGTATTAGAATATACATAATTATTCATAGATTGCTCTCATTGCAAATGAGTATGCTATCTGCAGACGAATCAGAGTTTTGTTCTATATTTTGAAATGTTACAGAAATCTGTTTATCAAGAGGCAATATTGTATGACATGCCTATATAGGTAGCAATCTCTTTTAAATGATTTCCAGTATGCCAATTGCAGAGCTTTGGAGTATTTATTTTTAAGTCATTTCTATCCCTCCTTTCATCAAGGAGCTCAAGGCAACAAATATGGTCCGCCTTCCACTTTTCCTTTGCTGGAAGCCTGCAAAGTGGCTAGATATTTGAAATAGGGTCATGCCTCCTAATTTATCAGGACTTTCTCCACCTCCTTAGTGGGACATTTGCATATTTTCTTGCTCTGGAGAAAAGAAAATCTCCTCCTTATTAGTTGGTAGGCTTGCTTCTACAGATGGAAGCATAAAGTTGGATCCCACCTAGTGAGTAGTACGGACTCTACCAAGGTCCTATATGCTGAATCAGAATTTAAACCTGGTCACACACTTATCTGGGGTTTCCCAAACTGTGAGGTGTACCTTCTTTGGGCAGGTGCAGAGAGAAGTGTGGAAAACCCTTTGGTTAATAAATCCACATTTCCCAAAGTTTCATTGTATTGCTTTTTTTGTTCAGTTGTGTTCATTTTAGTGTTTGAATTTTTAGGCCAGATGTGTACATTAAGGTTACAATAAAGGGAGTTATAGCAAAAAGTTTGGGAACCCCTTGTCTAAGACCTTAACTACAGCTTTAAACTAAAATTGGGTAAGGTCCAGTTATTGTCAATTACAGGTTTGGGGAGATTGAGAAATCATCTAGTTTTTTATGGTTATGAATGAGGGTATCCAAGGGAACGCCCAAAAACTTCATAGCCACATGACACAGAATCTCTTTGTTTGAGAATTATTATTTTTTTAAATGCTTAAAATGAAGTAAACAAACAATATGCTAAAGGGGGGGGGGGGGAATCAAGAAATAATCAATGGTTTATTTTGATGGTTTGATGACCCTAAAATAAATAACCCTGCTTTGATAGCATCCTTAGTTTATTGCAATTCATCCAGAGAAACAGACTTAGTAAAACTTCCATTTTCTTTCCAGTTGATGAGAGAATAATATTACTTTGGCATAAGGTTGCTGAGAATAATTAATAATGCTGTTGCTATGGACAACTGCATACTGAATATTTTAAAATGTGATTATCTCCAGTGACTATTATTAAGAAAACAGTAAATTTTGGGGGAACCTTAGCACAATAAAGCACTCACTATATTGGTAAATAGATGCCAATGAACACCACAGTTAAATAAGCAAGCATCGTCTTCTGATATTGCATAATGCCTTCTTTATGTGCTCCCCTCCACCCTAGATTCTATATATACTGAACGCTACATGGGTTTGCCTGAAAAAAATGATAACCTGTATTTCTATGAGGTAAGAAAATGTCTTTCACTTTTTACTGTACAAAAATAAAACAACAATGCAAGCTGAATCTCACTGAACCTGACTTCCACACACATACTTCTTTCTTCCCTGCACTTCTACGATCAACTTTGGATCACACTTACATACACCAAGTCCAAAGAATATGTGGGGAAGATGAGAAGCAAGCTGTGGTAGCATTTGCCCCCCCCCCCTTCCTTACTTATAGAGAAGTGGTTATATGGTAATTTATCCAGGGATATCAGAAGCAATAGTTATTCTAGGTGAAGAATATTCTAACAGTTTCTGTTGAGTGTTGCTAATATATTCCAGATATTTCCAAAATTATTTACAGTGTTTTGCTATACTGTAGAGGTTAGGTGACTGCATTTGTTTGGAATATGGATTCCATCTGTTCTCTATTACAATATAAATATTTATAAATAACTTTTGCAAAACTGTTTTTTTATTAGGGAAATTCAATTTGGTATGCTATTTGATATAGCCTTGTATAGAGATTTGGGTTCTGTAGACGCTCTACCATCTCTGGGTCGCAATAATCTAGGCAACCATTTAGTGTAATCTGAATACTAATTACAACCCAGAGATTATAATACCTTTTAACATTGCATCACTTGGCACATTTATACGAAAATGTGGTTTCATGGATCTGACCAGACACTTATGAAAATATCTTTTCCTTCCCTCTTTCTTAATCTGCAGCATTTTTTCACTAAAACAGATTTAGGCAGTGAATTTGTTCTTTGACTTTTGCAGTTTGCACTGCAATTGAAATGCTGGCATAGTCTCCAGGAGCAGTGAGGTATTAGCCCAAGATATATCTCTGTTAACCTTGCTCTTAAACAAGCATATCTTCTATTATATCTGCTGTTGCAGCGTCTTTACATGCCAGTGCATATCTGTACATTTTGTGCTCAAGTCTGTTGTGTACATGATGTTTCTGTTTCTTCAGTATCATGTTTATGATGCCTTTGCTCCAAAAAGAACTTTATAGTAAATTATGATTCTAAGCATACTGTTTTTATTTTTCCATTACATCATAATAAAAATTCATGCACTCTGACACATCCACAATGTTTGAACACCTGTTGAAGTGTGCAGAAACTTAGCAGAAAGGAATGAAACACATGTACATATTGAGGGTGTATATCTGAAAAGGAGATCTAAAATGGGTGGGAGATATCTTGTTTTGAAATAGAAGTAGATATGGAACTGAATTAACACACTGAGCACATTAGTCACAAAACCCACTGTGGGCAAAGGGAGAAAAAAATTGCTAAGTTGTCCTATCTCTACTCTTCAAGTTGCTACTTGATGAAGTAGCAGCCATGTAACAAATGCTGCTACTGGGCATCTGCTGTACAGAGAAGAGTGAGTTATGGAGAAAAAAGTCTATGTTTCTAATAAATGAAAGCCATAATCATAAGAGCTTGAAGACCAGATAATTTGTTTTTGCACCTAAAAACCTAAAATGGGCAAGCCATACAAATCTTTTAAATAAATAAATCTGGATTTCTGAAATTTGAGAACCAGTTTGGTGTGGTGATTAACGTCCTGAACTAGAAACTCGTGAGTTCTACTTTAGCACAAAGCCAGCTGGAGACCTTGAGCTAGTGACTTTAGCCTTAGGACGGCAGTCCTGGCAAAAAAATCAAAACCTTGCCAAGGAAAGTTCAGAGGCTTTGGGTCACCAGGAGTCAAAAATTGACTCAAAGATACACTCTACAATCAAATCCCAACCCTTAAAAACCCAAGTTGGGCAACTGTACAAATCTATTAAATTAATTAACCTGGAGTTCTGCAGATTCACCTGTTCAGGACCCAATTTCCATCACTGCTGAAACCTAGAAAAGGGCACTCCCATTCATTCACTCCAGGCTACCTCGCAAAATATTTAGGACTGAAGGGGGTCATCTCAGGTGGCCTGGATCTTGTTTGTGGGTAGGTCCAAATGAGTTAGTCGGTTTTGCCCTTGAGATCTACACATCCTAGATAGGAAATAAAACTGCCACTATTGTGCAGGAAGTATGGTGGCCTAGCAGTTAAGATGCTGGACTTGGGTCAACTGGAAAGTTGGCCTTTTGAGCCCAAGAACCACATGACAGGGGGAGCTCCCATTCCTGCCCCAGCTCCTGCCCAACTAGCAGTTCAAAGGCATGGAACTGGGAGTCCCAAAGGTGCTTTTTTCAAGAGGCAACTGGACTTCCTTGTTTCACTTCTCATCCAAGAAGCTTCTTCAGTTCTGACTCGATGGCCGGGAATGGAAGGATTTATACTCCTTGCAGACAGTTGGTCATTTGCACTCTTTTTAGAGAATCGTTGAGGCCACTTGGAGGTTTATCTGTGTCCTCGGGGTCACCTGAGTAGTGCAAATGGGGTGTGGAGCCTTGTTGACTACAGGATGTTTTCTGCCCTGTGTCCCTTCAGGGCAGAAAACAGAAGACAGGCACAGGCTGTTGGGGCTGAGTCTGTGTTGTCTGCATCTCAAACTGAAGCACAAATGGTTCCTGTAGTTGTTCAATTTTTCTGGAAATCCATACATACTCCTACACGATTCGAGGGTATTCACCCCAAAGCGCACAGCTAAAAGTCCGTGGAGATTCTCGGTCATTCAGGTCACGGTTGTCTCAAAGGTGCTTTTTCAGGAGGCAACTGAACTTTCTTGTCCAACCCCCACCCCCACCCCAAGTCCAGTTGCCTCCTGAAAAAGCACCTTTGAGACAACCATGACCTGAATGACCGAGAATCTCCATGGACATGGAACTGGGAGTAGATAAATAGGCAGTACTTTGGTGGGAAGGTAACAACATTCTGTGTGCCTCGTGCTGGCCACATGACCACGGAAATGTCTTCAGACAAAGCTGGCTCCTTTAGCTACGAAATGGAGATGAGCTCCACCCCCTACAGGCAAATACCATTGGACAGGGGAAAGCTTTAACTTTTTATAAAAGTCACTATAGAATTCTATAATCTGACTACTCTCGACTACACCTCTCTGGCTACCACCCCTCAGAAATAGTACTACAAGTACTACAAGCTAAAAAAAAGGCAAAGAAAAGAACATTCAAAACAATTGATGGGATGCAAGTAGCGATGAAATGTATATCGTGGTGTAAAATGTGCAGCTTGTACTTGAAGGTCCTCATTTACTGTAGTCGCCTATGGTTGTCTCTAAAAAGCAAAACAAAAAGCTTGGTGTGAAGATGAGAAAGAAAAAAAAACATGATGGGTGAAGTGTTGAAAGTCATGCATAATGTAAAAAAAAATTGAACAGTCTTCCCTCCCCACCCCCACCCCCCTTAGAAGGATTAGAATCATGGCATGAAAGAACACATGGGAAAATTTGGGACTAGAGAAAGAAAGAACTTGTTTACACATTCAATAATTAATTGTCGGAACTCCCTGCCCTCAGTGGTGCTGTTCCCTGTTATTTATTATTTTTTTGAAATGGCTTTAAAAGCTACCTCCTGAATTATAGATAGGCTACTTTTAAATAGGGATCAAATGTAGGCAGCAGCTATTAGCTCCATGCCCTCTTTGTGACTTTCCCTCAAGCAGTTGAGTCAAAGATTGTTGTGAGGTACATTTGGCCTGGTCCTGTCTAGGAGGGTTCTTCCATTGTTTTGATCAAGTTATGAAAGAAATTTTTACAGTCCCTGGGGTAAAATTCTGGAGTCACAGTTTGGCCATTTGGTGACTTACTGCCCTTCTTTCAGCTCTATGAGAGATTTAAACTTTAAAAACTTGTCTGGGTTTTCAGTAAAGCTTTCTAATTTAAGTCCAACTAGTTATGAAATCTTTATTCTACCCTACCCATCCGTGCTTGCTATATTTGGGGAAGAAGGTTGCTTGCTGAATAACTTTGGGTTCTGATAAGTCGCTTTGTCGAGTAGCAGATCCACAAAGCCCTTATGGAACTGGAAGTCTCTTAACTTTCTACAGATTGAAATGTTAGTGCTCTGGGTGCACTATGTCACTCTGCAGCTTCACAGCACAGATGGCTCCAGAGGACCGTGTAATCTTTCTTTTTGCCAGAAGCCGACTTCTCTTGGCACGGCATTCGTTGCTGGCAGTGTCCACGTTGAAACTGCCAGTACCCAAAAGCTAAAGGTTTCCAGTGTGTTACTCAGAGGATTAAATTGGAGAATTTGAAAGTTAGGGAGAGATGGAGATACGGAAGAGACTTATTGCAAATCCCCTTAGGGAAGAACTGTTTAATTCCGTTCATGTTATAAGTAGCAAGGAATGAAAATCTTCTTGGTTTAAGGTATTATTTGGAGTAGATTTCTCCCCTTTAAGTGGCCCAAGTTTTCTTTTTATCGTGGAACAATGAATTGCACAGTTTTCACCCCTTCTTGACTACAAAAAACATAAAAAACCCTCCTCAGAATATCCTCACTTTCAATGATCCTGATATTTCCTTCCTTCCATCAAAAATCCTCCTAAAGGCAGTCAGCTCAGTGTAGAATCTACAGAATCAACTGTAACAGTGCCAGAGGTTCATTAATTCATTTTTTTATGGTACAAAAACCTTCCTAGGATAGATAATTGTATAGGCAGAATTTACAGAATTCTGTCTTGTTTTCTCCAAGTTGAGAAGTACATTCCCTATGTTGCTATTAAATGGATGGTCATGTACTTGATTACCCTTCCAAAAATTCCTACTTATTTTCTCAAGGAAATAAAACCATGCTGGCTGGAATTCAGACTCCCAATCGTTGTGAATATTAAGGCTGCAGGCAAGCTGTCCTGGAGCCTAGGCATTTCACAGTGGTGTGTAATATACTGACCCACCATTTAAGAATGCTGATTTTGTGAGACCCAGTTTAAATCAGAACCTACAGTGTCTGTCTTCCCATGGCAAGTGATTTCTGTTCAAAGGCTGATCATACCAATTGGGGCATCAGCATCACACATTACCCGCAACTATCATTGAGGATGCAACACACTGGTGTCTATTTTACCTAAGCATGTACTTCAGTTCAGGGAATTGCCCAGTCGCTGAACATGTGAACATTCAAAGGGATTCATTGTGACCAGAGATTGTGAGATGACATTGGTGCTACAATCAGCCCGACTATCGCACTAGACTGAGGCCTTGCCTTTAAATATCCTCCCTTGATATGGCCGTCATCAGGTGATGAAGGTGTGCGAAGCAGCCCCAGGTCAGAGCCCTGTGCCTTGTTCAATATTGCAGAATGTTGTACTGTGATGTTCAGCACTGGAACAAGTGTTGTAAAATAGAACAAGGTGGAGACCTGGATGCATTAAGCCTAGTAAGAATAATGCCAAGAGTATGGCGGACAAGTCGCTCCACAAGTGTCTCCGGATTGCAAACTAGAAGAGATTTAAAGCCAGAGAGAGAGGTGAGCCCTAAAACTGAACAGTTCCCCCAAAGGAAGATCAAGAGAAGGCCTGAAAGAAACCAGACTGACATGTGCAAGGGGAGGGGGGAGGGCTGAATTGATGACTTGAGGGGTGGGAATGAAGGGTGATGCAGATAGTAGCTGTCATGTGCTGCCAGAAGACCATGCACTGGAGGGGGGGGGACTGTTAAACTTGTGAAAGAGGTTGTTTTGCAGATCTCTCTGAATTTGATATGCTGTTGGCAAGTATTCGAAGCAGTCATAGATTTGGCAATCTTCTCTTAGCAGATTTGAAATGTTCATTCCTCAAGAACTGCTGCATCATTAGGTTATGCAAAACAGGGTACAATTTTGTAAATATGCCATCTTGTACTGGTATGACATTTATTCTATTATCCAAGAAATATGCCAAAGGGAGAGAGACCTTCAGATTCCAGCCAAATATTAACTTGTTTATTGAGTGGTGGTAAAATGTTGACTGCTGTTTGATCTTTTCACAAAGCGAGCACTCCTTGCTGTGGCCTTAGTGTTAAAGGGCATTTTTACCGCTGGACTGACATGAAAAGACACAGGTTGCCTTGCCTTGGCTGAAAAAGCTCCCTGAAGCCTATTTCTTGGCTGTATGGGTGAGAGCCCTGAGGCAGATTCTCCCTTGTAAAGATTCATTCAATAAGAATTAGGCAAATATGGCTTAATAAAGAGCAGTTGAGGATGGTTTATTTTTATTTTATTTATTTATTTGTCAAGTGATTATAACATAATATGTATAAGTATAAACATAGTTATGAATACATGAAATGGATACATATAAGAAAAATAAAAAGAAACAATAGGACAGATAGGGTAGGCACGTTGGTGCACTTATGGACGCCCCCTACAGACCTCTTAGGAAAGGGGTGAGGTCTATAGTAGACAGTCTAAGGTTAAAGTTTTGGGGGTTTGGGGAAGAAACCACAGAGTCAGGTAGAATATTCTAGACATTGACCACTCTGTTGCTGAAGTCATATTTCCTGCAATCAAGTTTGGTGCAGTTTACCTTGAGTTTGTACCTATTGTGTGCTCTTGTATTGTTATGGTTGAAGTTGAAGTATTCATTGACTGGTAGGGCATTGCAATGTATGATTATATATACTATACTTAGATAGGACCAAAGGCTTTATAGTTCTAGATTTTCTAGGTCTAGAATTTCAAGTCTGATGGCATTTCTCAACTGTGTTAATATCAGATATGTAATGCAGGTTCTGGACTGATGAGCTGTATTCAAGTATTGGTCTAGCAAATGTTTTGTATGCTCTAGTTAGTTGTGTGATATTACCAGAAAAAAAGCTACGTAGGATTAGGTTAACAACTTTTAATGTCTTTTTGGCTATGTAGTTGCAGTGGACTCTAGCACTTAGATCATTAGAGATGAGTACTCCAAGGTCCTTGACAGAGTTTGGATCATCAACAAATGGTGATTCCATTTTTGTCTGGTCTTAATTCTTGGCAATAAGTTATATTCAAAACTTATTTCCCCTCCGCCCATTGTTCACAGCCAACAAATTGAACCATTGAAGGGTGAAAAAAAATGTTTTCCTGGAGAACGAAAAGCTATCAAAATAGAGCATAGGTTATCTCTTTCTTGATTGTCACTGGACTCCACATAGAGCATCCATGCTGAGCACTGCAAGTCCCAAAGAGGAGCCATGGAGAACCACAGGGAAATGCAGTGTTCAACTTTCTGCAGTGTCATACTTTAGTTTTACACATCGCTGCATGTGGGAAGCGGAGTTGTTTTCCTGCTGAAAAGCAGCAAGTTGTGGTTACCTTGATGGCACTAATCACAAAAGGGGAGCAACAGACACGGAGTTATTTCTGTTTATTCCCCTAAGCTAGAAGCCTGTGCTGTCAACACAAGGTTGGCAAGTGGGATGTGAGCAAACACACGCACACACCGATTTGCAGGGTTGAACACAATGGCTGCCGCTGATCCGTGGGCACGGTATATATGTGCGAGATAAATTTTAAAATTTACAGAACATTTTTATACAGATTGCTTTAACAGGTACTAAGACTCTGGATGATTAGTAGCATGCATATCAGAGCGCTCTTTTTACCAATGAGTATCAGTGGGGAAATAATTTCCCGTAAGTTATCTTTTGGTTCATGCAATTTGTTACTCCCACTTATTTAGATTCATGTTTTGCAATTTATCTTCAGAGCACGAGCAGCAGTGGCTTTTATGCAATCCTTTAGCTATCCAGAAATGTTCGGTATTTGTCCAGCCATTTAGATAAATGAAGAAGTTATATTTTTCCATTAAGACCCTGGTGCAGTAATTAGAACATCAGTTTTGCAAGTTAAAAAGCTTATTTCCATAAACTTTTCGAAGTGAACCCACAACCATTCCATTTCTGTTCTCAGAAGATAAAATAATATTCAGAAGTGTCATTTTTCCATCAGAGTTCTGCCTTTGGATATTGGTGATGAGAGTTGAACCTTTCATTTTCATTGCTGGTGCAGAATTTTGGATCTTAGTGAACGGTCCTCAGCAGCCCTTTAGAGAGAAGAGGTGCATCGGTTGCCTTCTGAAGTCAACTTAAGGGCATCTTCATGACAGGTGCAGAGAGGTTTTCACATTTATGAATGCTGTATGAATAAATAGCAAGGTCATACAGAGAGTCAGACTGTATTTTTCTTTTGAATTAAAATAGCATTTTGTTACATTAGTGTGTATTTGAGTCCCTCACACGGAGGATTATATTGTTTGTTTACATTTACATTTTAGAACTCTACAGTTATGGCCAGAGCAGAAAACTTCCAAATGGTTGACTATCTTCTGATCCATGGAACAGCAGACGGTAAGCAGAGTTAGATCTTACTGGTCATACATCTACTAGTAACAAAACAAAACCAAAAAAAGCAACGGCCTTGAGGACTTGCTTGTTCACATCTGGTAAATCTCTAATAAACCTCTGTGATGAGTTCTCCCTTCTTTCTTTCCATCTAAGTAACAGTCTGCTTTTATTGTGACCGTTTGTCTGTTCTTACTTCCCAGATAACGTTCATTTTCAACAAGCAGCCCAGATTTCAAAAGCTCTGGTTGACGCACAGGTGGATTTCCAAGCAATGGTATGTGAAGGGATTCATCGAAACTTAGCATACATGTTGGTTTGCATTCTCAGTGAAGAAATGAATAGAGGTAGCCCTCAACTTACAACTGTAATTGAGCCTGCCCATTATAAGTCCTGACAGTCATAAAGCAGATTATAAGTCCCATGGCGACTTGATTTTATGACCTTTTTTGCAGTGGTCCTTAAGTGAATCACCATGATCATTAAGCCAACATTGCAGTTGTTAAGTGAACCCATGGTTTGTTATGGGGCATTTTTGCTAAGAACCAGGAATAAATGCCAGTTTTTGGCAAAAACATTGTAAATTGCAGTCACATACTCGCGCTGCAAATGACCATAAATGTGGGCCGGTTCTCAAGCACCCAAAATGCAGTCATGTGACTGCAGGTGACCATTGTAACTTTGGAACCAGATCATAATTCCGTATGGGGGGGGGGTGTCTGTTTGACTTTGAATGGTCACTAAGCAACTGGCCATAAGTCAAGGATTATCTGTATAAGAGGAGGAGGCTAAGTTCGTAAAAGGAGATATACACATCATACAAAATGTGACATTGTAAGAAAAAGATGCATGCACACTTCCTTTAAAGTGAGGAGTTGGCTTCATTTGCTCCGATTATGTGCAGCAGCAGCATCAAAAATATATTTCTGAGCATTTGGGAAGGGAAAAGATACAAGGTAGATAGCAAAGGGTCCCGTCCCCCCCCTCTTTTAAGCAGCACTGATTTAGTTTTCCTGCTACTGAGAGGTACTAACTAAGGTAAGGGTGGGGGGACTTGAGCATATACGATGGATACATTCACCAAGAAGAAACTTACCCATCCTCAGAATGGGTTCAATAATGAGCATGATCAATGTATAGAACACTCGTTGATCAGAAAGTAAGTTAGTTCTTCAGGATGTTTGTAAGTTAGTTCCTCAGGATGTTTATCCTAGTAGAATTGGGGTGGGGGGAGATATACTCTTCTAAATAACTACAGCCCTAGAAAATATAGCTACTTGATTTATTTTTCTTTCAAATGCCCTTTCAAGAGAAGCCAGGCGGAACAGAGAGCTTGTGAAGCACTGTGGAATGTAGGGCACATTGGTACTTGGTGATTGTGGGTGCTGCACGCACACAAAGGGCTTGCTGATGAGAGCAACTAAACTGTTGCTATGGTTACGCAAATCCCATCTCCTCCCAAATGTTCTTACCTATCATTGAAAGTTGCAGATGTCAGGCGTCAAGGAAGGATACGTAGTGATTCTTCTAAGAAGATTTATTTATCGATCCATGATTATAGGCAGAATCTTGCCAAGCTAAAGCAGTCTGCTCTCTATCCAAGCCTATGCTCAGAAAACCACGAGAAAGAGGGTGTCTTCATCTTCTTTCTCACACCCAAAATATCTGAAATGAGTTGTCTCTACTCCTCTGAAATGCACCCCTCCTTCCTTGGAATCCAACCCACCAATGTTCCATTACACAAGAGAGGAATATATCCATAAAAGTGGATGAGGGATATTTGGCCAGGGTTTCAGTTAGATTCTGGCATAGTTGTGTTAATACTATCTACACCATGGTAGTGTTATCTGTAAGAGTGCTCTCAGATATTGTTCCAGTCCTAATTGGAGTTTAACACTAACCCAACGTCCACAGCATGTGTGTATTACCAGCTCTCAGCTTTTCTACAAAGAATGTGTATAATCTCTCAAATTTCTTTCTGGTCTAATCTAGGGTGAGCAGATCTGGGCTACAAAAATCTGTAGCAAAGTAACATGGAATCTTTAGTAATTGACTGCCATTTAGCAATAGCAATAGCACTTAGACTTATATACCACTTTATAGTGCTTTACAGCCCTCTCTAGTTAGCATATTGCCCCCAACAATTTGGGTCCTTATTTTACTCACCTCAGAAGGCTGGAAGGCTGAGTCAACCTTGAGCCTTGGTGGGATTTGAACTGCCAAATTGTAGGCAGCTGGCTGCAGAAGTAGCCTGCAGCACTGCACTCTAACCACTGCGCCACAGAGGCTCCTTATTTGGAGGTCTTCTTAGCTCAAATCTGCTCCCCCTATCCGAGTGAGTAATGCAAACATGCTAGTTCATAGCACCCGAAAAAAGGCACAAGAGCCTCTTCGTATAGCACCGCCTCTGGCATAAATAGTGCATGGACCTGTTGAGGTGGGCAGCCTCACCCAGTTCTAGCTTCCCTCATCCCAATAGGACACTTCTAAAACTAGGCTCAGTTCCCCAGCTCAAAATAGTGATGATTAGTTGTAGTTTCTTTTTGCTCTGGATGCTAAGCTTAGGGCAGGAATTCCATTTTGAGGATTCATATGGCCAAGGTAAACTACAAGATCTGTGTCCATAACTTATATATGGCAACAGTGGGTTTCCAGCAAGGAGAAGATTTCAGTCAGTTCTCAGGCAGTGGTTTTATGGCATGTAGTATCTGGAAGAAAAGCCTCTCTAACCCCTTTCCCTTTCGGAAGGAAACAGTCAGAACTCAGTATTTTCTTTCCCTCTTTTCCTACCCCACCCTCAAGTATTATCTTGTCTTCTGCCCTTTTTAGTATGCATAAATATTAGATGTTGACCGTTATCATGATTATCATATGATGACCCCTTGATTTCAATGGAACTTTTTATCTGTGAAATTTACAAAATGTGAAACGATTCATAGTTGAAGGAATCCCGTTAATTTTTACTGCAAATTAAAATTGAGATTTACCATTTTTAGCCTGTAACAAACAAACAAACAGAATCAACTTTCTTCAAATGTTTTCACTACGTTCTGGTTTCAGTGGCATAAAAAGCGCTGTTTTTCTTGTATGTTTTATCATCCCAAGTAATAGACTGTGTTATTTGCTCTGATACAAAGCAAAAGGCGTTCTGAATTCTTGCAGTGTTCCAGTTTAGTGACAGGGGCTACTTATAATCAATATTTTTCTTTTTCTTTTTTCAGTGGTATACAGATAAAGATCATGGAATCGAAGGACATGCCCACAGCCATATTTACCATCACATGAGTCATTTTATCAAACGTTGTTTTAAACTGCCATAAAGTTGGGAGTGCCTTATCTATGAGAAGCTGGTCAACTTCTGAAGTTTTAAGAGCGCTTTTCTAGTAAATTGTCCCATATTTCATTGGATGACACAGTCAATTTAATTTGTGCGGACACTTGAATGAAGAAAACATGATCCACTGAGCACAAGCCAAAGAACTGCAGAGCTCCCTAGTTCCTGCAGGAGCTGCTCCAATCTTTTTTTTTTTCCCTCAAGAACTATTTTTGCATAATAGTGTTTTTAAAATGTTTTCTTGCAGTAAGCAACCATTGCCTTGGGTGCAGAAATCTGCCTTAATCATTTCTATATGGACCTGTTGTTCTTTTGAAACAAGGCATAATCCAGGCTCATCAGATGTTCATTACAAACTAGGGAAAACATTCTTTAATTTCTGCTCTGTATTGATTTTAGATGAAAAGTTAGCATTTCGATAAGTTTTACATATGTTTTACATATGTAAAGATAAGTTTTACCAGTTTTACATATGTTTCTTTACATAAACTTGTATGGCAGCTCTCTACAAATATGTGGATTTCTACCAAAATAAACAGTAGCTGATATAGGGAAATCAATCTGTGCTGGGAGAGCTTTGCAAGTAGCTTCTTGCTTAAACAGAGAGGGAAGATCATCCTGCCCTAGAAGCTTCCAACTTCTTTAAAGTCAAGATGGCCGCTTTCTAGGAATATGCCTCCAAATAGGTGGAAAAGGAAAGGGAAAGAACATTAAAATGGTTTTTCTATCTTGAACATTTGGGGGAAATTCCAGGAGACACTCTAGAACCAGCAAGTCAGACTACTTCCAGAACTGCTGCAATTGACAATAACGATGAAAATAACCAGCTACTTGAATTATTCCTTTTGGGCAGTTGGGAGGCAGGGGCCAGAACCAGCTCACCAAGGGCTTCAATGAATCTGTTTCAGTGAATGATGCCAGGCTTCAACCTTGAGAATGGCAGGACACTGGGGAAAAAACAACAGGTGTTTGTTTTATGTATCAAGCTCTAAGCAAAGTGGAGGTATGCGTGGCTACATCTGGGTGCCTCGGGGATTTTATTAAGGTTGTTGGAGCCTAGTAAGCAGCCAGTTCTCTCCCTTCTGCTTTCTATATGCTTGCTATACCAGATGATCTCACACTTCCTGTCGCTAACATATATCCAATAAAGTGGAAAGTGCTTTTCCTGTATGATTAGCCCACACATAGGCAGCATTTCCAGTGATACTACTTGCAGTGGGTTCCAGATTGGGTGATCGTGAATGTCTAATCTTCCTGAAATGCACATTTGTAAACAATCGCTAGAAAACACCCATGATTTCCACAGAATTGAGAATTAGGAGCTGAGATTACATGCCTCAGGGTGAGAATTAGCACAGAAATTGGAACCAGATTGCCGACATCTGAGCCATTAGATATTTAGTATCTGTATTAATCATACCTCATTCGAATTAATATCACATTTAAGACCTGTGGTACATGTTTGGTTCTCTGTATGATATAATTATATGTACCCATCATACATAGGAATCATGAAGACAGCAATAAAAGTCTAGTTCCTCTGTTATGGTGAGTAATATAATTTATGAGAATGGGATGCAAAACATGGTTTGAGAACATTTCTATGCATAAAATTCATATTGGATTAATGTAATTTGTTAACACAATCCTCTAAAAGTTCACTATTGTTAAAAAGGAATCTGTGGAGATTGTTAAAATAAATTGCATTGCAAATGTTGGTATTTTAACTGTAATGCAATAAAATCATTTTCTACTACCAAAGACTAAAATGTGATTGGGGCCTTATTTGTTAGCCTCAGCCGCAAATGTAGCAACAATTTTGAGTACAATCCAATGTTGGTCTTAAACTTTGGGAAATTCTCTGGCCTACATTTTTTAACGTTTTCATAACAGGCATCAAGTCATAGTGTTTCAATTTAATTGATCATGATTTTATGTTATTTTAATTTGCTTTTTATTATGGTTTTATTAATTGTGCTTCCCTTCCCTTCTGAGAGTTGGAGATCATTTGGAGGGCATCCAGGTTGGGAAAAGCGGAATTAATAGGATTGTACTTTGAGTCTCTTTAATGAGTGGAAAAATTGATTTAGTGAATATTAGCAGCTTTTCATAATTGCGACAGTTCCTATTAGTATCATGTAACAAAGTTTCTTGAGTATTTTATATTCTGTAAGTCAGTGTCAAATCTTACTTCTTCTGGCATGATGAGTTGTCAGTGACATTAGGTGTGAAGTCAAAGTAGACAAGGGAAGGGAGAGGAGAGCTATGTGGAGAACAAAAATCATTTTGTGATACATGTCATAAAGATTTTAAATTCAGCAAAGAAAGAAAATGTATTCTGATTTCTTCGAAGTGAAAGTTGTGCAGGGAGCTTGTTAAATAAAGCAGATATAAAGTGTCACAATCCTCATGTTTCTGCACCAGGAAGCAAACCTATATTGTCACTTTTCAAATACCTCCTGCTCTCTCTACTTAAAATCTTCAGATGCCTGAATTTTAAAGTAGAAACAGGCAATCATTCATTAAGTCCATCAAATACACATCGAATTTACTCCTACATAAATGGAGTTGTAAACTTGCAGTGAAAAAAAAAAAAAGAGCGGATTTAGTTCCACCAAGAATAACACCATCTAATACATATGTAAGGAATTAGTCCCAATGGGTTCACGTTGGCTTTTCTCAAGAGTCTACATATATGGGTATGCAGTTCTACATGCTTGTAATTGTGTAGAACAGGAGGGACGATCTTCATCCCAGGAGCCACAGCCTGCTCTGATCATGATTGCTAAACTCTGGCAGCCTAGTTTCTTGCCATTTTGTGTGGGGAACAAATAGGAATTCAGGGACATTTAACACCCCCATTCCTCTTAATGCTTGATTTAGACTTGCCTGCAATTGCATGTAGGCATCGACACATACCTATGCTGAGAAGGGGTTGATGGATAAGTGTAGGTTGCAGATGGTTGCAGACATGCTGATGTGCATACTGTCGGGCTCTGGGAATTTACTGTCGGGCTCTGGCACTCACTCGGAACCCGACACATCGCTGGGGCTGTGGGACTGATGGATGTATGGATGACTGTCGTTTATGCTGAATTGTTGAGACAGCTAGACAACTCCTAAATCTGAACTATATGGAGATTCAAATCCTGCATGCTGATTGATTGATTCAACTTCCTCTTGGAAGGCAGGCGGAAGGCAAGGCACATTCAAATGACATTAACATTTATAGAAGTGCTAATGCAACAACTATGCAACCATCTCTGAATGGTAAGTACATACATGGGGTATCAGAGAAGTCTAAACCAAGCTTTAGTCTTCCTCTCTCATTGCTCATCCCTAATTTAGATATAATATACACAATCTTACATTTTTAAAAAAATCCTAGAGTGAGTTGCAAACAGAGAATCAAAAATAGGCTTTGGTGTAATTTCATATCCGTTCAAATGTGTAGAATTCATCAATGTAGTAATGGTTAATAGTACTCTATAGCAAATAAACTCTCCAACTTGAACTCAATTTCTGGTGGCTTTATAGATATATTCATATAGTTTTCTTGACAACAAGATGTAAGTGGTTTGGCGTTGCAATTTTTTTTTTAAAAAAACTTGGTAGCCTCCCATCCAATGACTCATCTAATATAACCTTGATTAGCTTTTTGGAGAGTAGCTAAAATCTGACAGATACTGTTAAAGCAATGAACCTCTTGGGATTGTGGCAGGGCTCAATAAAGAATGTTAATATTTGAATCCTGATCTAGAGAATTGCAGTATCTAAAGTTTGCATGTTTTCTATAAGAGAGGCCTGAGACCAGGATT